TATATATATATGTATTGCAGTAATTATTTTTTTCGCTTTATGGTAATAAGAATTTGGTAGGCAAATGTGCTTAATAGTCAGGAGAATAATGTCACAATGCAATCTTAACATTGGTAAAATTAGACTTTTGTTCATGCAAAAAATTTTTTTTTTTAATTTGATTTTAGGGTGAAATTTGTCCATGTTCTTGTGAGATTCGCCTGTTTAGTTCACGTTTGATAGGAGTACAAGCAATGTGTGTGGACCTCAGTTACTGTATGCAATAGTGAGAGTGTTTTGGGTGCACAAGCACGTGGTGTGAAGCATTGAAGAGCACAATCAGAATGGTCACTGCAGGCTTTATTTGAACGTTTCTGAATCAGACAGCGTCTGTCCAAAAACAAACGTGACGTCTGAATGGTCCTGCACATACTGTTTCCCAAGCTTCTGATTAAAGCCTGTTTGAGAAAAACGCTGGTATTGCACTTTAACCCCTCCTCCCCCTCCCTCCTTATCTTGCACTTTGCAGGCACTGTTAGGCTTCCATTCTCCAACCTTAAATGAGTGGCTCTGTGTTGTGAGATCTCAGATCAGTTTCCTTTACATAAATCCACCACACGAGAGAAACTGATCGCAGACGGGCCACCCCGAACGCCTGCAATGTGATCCATGTGATACGTGCGAGGGGAGCCCGTCCTCCATTCCCCAATTTAGAAAGCAAATCTATGTCAAATAGGAAATGGAAATTATGTTTGAAGCCATAACAGTCCCCTTGAAGGTGACTTATGGAAGCAGTGTGTCTGTTTATTCTTCCTCAGTTTGTATAAAAGATTATAGATTGAAAAAATATATCATTTGCAACATAAATTAATTATGTATTCCAAAACCCTAATAATTCTGAGGTACTTGAAATCGTGAAAAAAATTGCCATAAAATTATTAGCATACAGGTCACAAATGGTACAAAAGGATAAATTATTAAAAATATATTTATCTAATGAGAAAAAAAGAATAAGCTCAAAGTTGCATACGTTTATTTTATACTAATACTGATATGATCTTAATTACATAGTTGCTTAAGAAATCTAGGGTTGGTATGTCGTGGTTTTAGACTTAAGGTGCTAGTAGCCAATCTACCTTACCGAATGTTGTGCATACAATTAGGAAGCAGTTAGTCTACCTTGCCATCGAGTCCCACGTTTCTGACATGAAATACTGTAGCAGATCTTATTTTAACCGTCCTGAATCGGAACGGAAGCATCAAGCATTAAATGGCAAATAAAAATCTTCTGTGGCTTCAGTCACACTGAAATCCCCCCTATTGCACTGTACTTAGTCTGATAAAAGATTAATGGTGAATCTCACAAAAAACTGTTAAGAACATGTATCTTATTTCATCCCAAAATCTGAAAAAAAAAATGTGAATCATCGTTGAAAGAAATATTAAACAGTACAAATTGTCAATGCAAAAACAAAAATTAATAATTAACCATTTTTAAACATGTAAATTTCTACTAAATGTTACTAAATTGCTAAATGTCTAGATGCATAAGCATAATTTTCTTTAAGCAAAATATGTCTATATGTAGTGTGTGTGTGTATCACTTAAAGAAAATGATGTGATGCAGTGAAATAATTTACTATATAATGTAATTTTTAAACAGTTTTGTCTTAATGTATTGTATTACTCTAGCAAAATATTTCATTTTTTTTATTTTGTTTTATAATACAACCTTGACGTGTTCTCCACATTTCTTACATCATATTTCATCCTCGCCCCCTCCCAAAAATATATAGTATTGTAAATAAATAAATAATTCTAAATCTAAATGTACTACATTACACTTTTTTACACCGTCATTTGATTTTGCGGTAAAATGCAACATTAGCATGTTCTTCACAGGTTTGTGAGACTCACCCTTCGAAGACTCACATTCTTTTGAGTGAACATTAGTAGAGGACAAGGCAACATACTGTATGTATCATGCATGATGCCAGGTTAAATCTGAGATAGGAGCTCAGTGTTGCTCCATGACATTTCTGACCATGTTGTCTTATTGCTGTCACTGAGCTGTAATGTTGCCATCTTGGGTCCATGGAACCGACTGCTTTGACATAGACAAGCAATGTGCTTTGAGTTTGGCCCAGTAGAATGTATCTTTCTCAATAGAAGTTCAGTTGTCACACGATATTGCTTGATTTGCCATCTCATGACACGAAAGGTGGCGTGTAGTTTCTGCTAGGAATATTGTGCGTGGCTTCAATTACCCGTCTTCCTAGATTATGTGGCGTACACATATGCAGACGTTGTACGATCATGACACTGCAGCAGATTTATTTCATAATTACAGCAATAGCTTGCAGTCGAAAGCACTACTGCAACGGTAAATGTGATTTCCAAAGCTTGGTGCAAACTGTATTTTTGCTTTCTTTCGCTTCTTTGCTTCTTTCTTTGTGACATAGTTGCTTTAAACTATTTGAATATGATCTTGCGCTTTTCTATACAGGTCAAAGTACATGTTGAAAATGTCCTTTTGTCCAAAACGCTATACACAGTGTGTGTGTGTGTGTGTGTGTGTGTGTGTGTGTGTGAAAGAGCATGAATGTGTGTAGGTGTGTATTTCTGTATTTCTGTATTTAGTGCACTTGTAATCCCATGAAATAGGCTTGAATATGGAGTGTCGGTAGAGATTTTGGTGAATTTGATTGTGTGCTGTGGAATTTTGTACTAAGGTGATCTGTAGAAAGTGGAGCCCCCTACCAGTTTTTAAAAATCATTCTTTTCATCACTTCAGCTTTTGTGTGAAATGAGGATTTCTCATGTTAGAATTTGACCCATCAGAATTCTGACGGAGAACGTCCTCAATAGAAGTCATTGTGTTTGATTTGAAATGAGTCTGAGCAGGCCCTGGTCTGAGGTACAAAAGGATGATCCAAAAACGTTGATTTTATTCAGATGCTCTAGAAACGGTTAGATCTATTAATACTTATCCAATAATGTCAGTAATGGACAAAATGATCTTTTATTCCTTTAAAGTTTTTACCTAGGTTGGCAAGAGTTCTGAATCTAAACTATTATTCTGTCTCTTTTCCCCTGGTG